CTGCGGACAAGGTAAGTATATTATATAGCTAGGCCAATATTGCTACTTTTGAAAAATGATCTTTCTTCATTCTTCTTAGTAGTAAAATATTTTTATACTCTTTACTATCCGTTTAACAGTAACAGTAGTGATTTGTTTCGAGATATTCTTTTTCTAACACTGCCTGAGGTAATTGCGGGGTGGATTGAGTAGCTCTGTCTCTGAGTCCCAAGCCCGGATAAAATGTGGAGGGTAATTGGCAAGGTTAGTAACCTACCAATCGTAAAAACGAATATTGTTCAAATAAACAATGCACAGCGTCGGAACAGGATTGGTACTATGAAGATGACCATGTCAAGAAATAAGGACAAGTGAAAAATATTAAAACCCCAAATGAGAATTCATCTTCTTCTTCTAATGACGCTACAACCCTTTTTGAGTCTTGGCCTGCTTAACAATGTTCTTCCATTCTGCCCTGTCAGATACTTTCCTTCGCCAGTACCTGATGTTCATGGTTTTAAGATCCCACTCAACGACGTCTATCCATCTTTTACGGGGCCTGCCTCTTGTTCTGTTTCCTTGGGGCTTACATCTCTGGACTACTTTTACAGCTCGATTATCTAGCATTGTTTCTAGGTGACCAAGCCAGTTTAATCTCTGTGACTTTACAAATCTAACAATATCTGCACTCTGCATCAGTTCATCCAGCTCGTGGTTCATTTTAATTCTACACGAACCATCGCTGCATTGGGTTAGTCCAAATATCTTTCTTAGTATTTTGCGCTTAAATATTTTTAGTTGATTTTCATCAGTGGTTGAGAGGGTCCACGTTTCACATCCATATGTGACCACTGGTCTAATTACTGTTTTGTAGATTCTAAGCTTAGACTCACGATTTAGTAACTTACTTTTTATTAAGTCTTTGTATGCATAGAAGCACTTATTACCGCTAAGAATCCGTGCTTGTATTTCTTGACTGATATTGTTGTTGTTATTTATTATTAAGCCTAGTTAGGGAAAAGTCGAGGCATAGTTTTAGGTAGGGTTGTCTACCTTCAGATTTTCATGTTAATTCGATTTTGTGCACTTCATATATTTTGTTTTGCTTTCATTTATAAATAGACCAAACGTAGCAGCTCATTTCAGTTCTATAACTTTTTCGCTTAACACCCTTTTGTTGCAGCTTATTATGGTAACATCATCCGCATATGCGCATATTTGCATTGATCTTATATTAATACAGCCGTTTATATCCAGTTTTCTAACAAAAGCTTTTAAAGTTAGATTACAAAGTGTTGTTGAGAAGGCATCACCTTGTCTAACTCCATTTTCAATATCAAAGACCTGCGTCATATCTCCATCTATTCTTACCATAGCTATGGAACCCTCCAGAGTCATTCGTATAAGTTTAACCAACTTATTGGGTATCCCTAACATAGATTGTTGCTTTAACATTTTTTGTCGATCTACTCCTTCAAACGCCTGTTTGAAATAGATATACAAGTTGTAAATAGGTATGTTATATTTAACACATTTTTCATGTATACTCTCTTAACATATGTATTTGGTCTATGGTTGACCTGTTTGGTCTATGGTTGACCTGTTTGGTCTGAAGCCACATTGGTATTCATCAACCATCTCTTCCAAAAACGATTCAGGCGGCTGTATATTATTCCTGATAATATCTTGTAGACAACATTTTAAACTGTTATGTCCCTATAATGTTTTGCAGAGTCGTTTGTCTCCCCCTTTGTACATAGCAAATATGATTTCTACTTTCCAATCTTTTGGGATGACTTCTAGTGTCCATATGCGGTCCATTAGTTTAAGGATACGCCTCCATAGCGCAGATCCACCATTCTTTATCAGTTCTGCAGTTATTCATTTGTTCCAGGTGCTTTGGTATTTTTTAGATGTTTTATGATGTTTATCGTTTCTTACAATGTTGGTTGCTTAACTATTTGTTCTTCTGTATGGTGAATTATTTCTTTATCTTCGTTTTGTTCTTTTTCTGGGTTTAATAGCTCTTGAAACTGCTCCGTCTACCTCTTCATTATTTTCTCTTTCTCGCTGATAATTGCATCATTTTTGTCCTTGCAAACTGTTGATCTTGTCATGTATTCTTGGGTGTATTGCTTGGATTCCTTGTAAAATTTTCTAGTCTTTCTTCTGTGAATATAATCTGTAATTTGTTGTATTTTTCTATTCAACATTTCTCTCTTTTTCCTTCTATATATTTTCTTTGCATCTTTTTTGAGTTCTTCGTATGTCCTTCTGTTTAATCAGTAATCCCTTTGTAGACATGTCTGTTTAGCTATATGTTTGCTATTTATTACTTGTTGACAATCTTGGTCAAACCATTCCTCATTTCTTTTACTTGAGGTATCACCTCATGTTTCCTTTGCCGTATTTGTAATTGTCGTTTGAATGACATTCCATTCTTCTTCAATGTTGTTCTGTTCTTCTCTTTCAGTTAATATTACTTTTATTTTCTGCTGGTACTCATTCTTCGGTTTATGATTTTTCCATTCCGGTTCCATTTTCTTTGTTTGGCATCTTTCTCTTTTCTTACCATTGGTAATCTAAGTTTTATCTTTAATATAACTAGGAAATGGTCATAATCGCAATTTGCGCCTTTATAAGATCTAACATCCGTTACGGAGGTTGCTCACTGCTTGGATATTAATATGTGATCAATTTGATTTTAGTTTATTAGTAACAGGTATTATCCAGGTTCATTTATGAATATTTTTATGAGAAAAACATGTACTAACAACTCTTAGTTTGTTTGTCATTGCCAGCTGTGCCACCCATATACCGTTGTTGCTGGTAATATCATGTAAATTATTATTACTTATGCTAAGGATTCTGCATATATTCGTGTTCACATTCTACTTGTAGTTGGTCATAGAATTGATCGGTTACTAGTTCATCTGCTGCTTCTGTTGGGGCATGGATATTAATAATTGTAATATTATGAAATTTTCCCCTTAGACGTATTTTGTCTATTCTTTCATTAACTGGAGTGAAACCCAATACTGACCTGCGGCATTTATGGTTTACCCATAAACCCCATTCAATAATCTCCTTGTCTTTCTGCTCCACAGTAGTACATACTGTATTCTTTTTTATTTATGCAACCATGCCTTTTAGATCTGATTTTTTGGAGGGCTGCTATATCTACTTCGTACTTCAGTAGTTCTTGTGCAATACTTTGCATTTTGCCTGCCTGCAGCATGGTTTGGATATTCCAGGTTCCCAGTCGCAAATCTATCATTGAGTCCTTATTCCTTAGCTTTGGCCGCTAATTGTTGGTGCGTCCGGTTAGTTTATTGTTCGTAGAATTCGTGATAGCTGAGTTTATGGTGAACAGATTATCGGCCTTTTGCACCCGAGTCCAGTGCCAGGGCTACTGGCTGTAGCTTCTGAACAAGCTATGCTTTCTCCCTTCCTTATTCGCCCTGACCCTACCATCCATTGGTAGCCACCCAATCTCCATAAAGTTGTTCATGTTTACCGGGATTCACCCGTGTGATCAAGATCAAACTTCTTGGAGGGAAGGATAGGAATTGAGTAGGAGAGGCTAGAGGTGTTATCTGAAAGCAACACTTTGTATTACGCCTCAGTACCCCTTTGAACCCCCCAGATGAAAATTACTACACGGAATATCAGGCTGCTCATTTCAAAGATAATAACCAAGATATAACCCAAGTGCTAAAATAGACATTTGCACTCTACAGGAAATTACTTTACACTCTAAAAAGAAAGGAAAACGATATTCACCACATTAAAACTCGCCTGTCCCTTCTTTGAAGTGAGTGAATGTTAGAGCATATCTTTGAATAATTTTAAAAATTATTGATTTGTTTATCTTGAGTTTTATCATTGCTGTTCTGTCTAATACTCCTCCACATTGCTCTATTCTATGCATACATCTTTTGGAGATTAGAAAGCCATTGCCGTTTGACCTTCATGTGATTAACATATAAGATGTTGCCAATTATGTCCCATTTACATGTAATTACAGTATTACTTCTTTTAATTCGGTGATTTTTTGTATTTGTTAAGAGATCCAACATTAAATGTTACTACGCGCAAATGTGTTAATATAGTTTTTCACGAATTCCTTCTTTTCCCATATTTCATAAAGTTGATCTTTTTGAAAAAGATGTCTGATTTAACATTAATATATTAACTACCTAACTGGAAACCCGCTACTTTGTTTGAGAAATCGCCATGATTTAAAAGGTGTTGGCCATAAAAATAGTACTGCATATCCATTGTGAAGCTGCCTATTCTAGATCAGACGCTGTTTCGATTTTATAAGTCCCTTAAATCAATAAAATACTGCTTCTACCAACGATCTTCATTTCCGCCATTACTACCATTACGGATTCATCTGTGTCCGTGAGCAAGGGGATTATCACTAGGAAATGGGTTTTTACTTGATTTTCCCAAAAATAATTGTCCAAAATATAGACCAAATCTCTTAGGAATTTATAGCTTTCTTAAATTAGGGTATTAATATAAGTCTAAATATTTACGATTTTTTATCTAGGACACAGTATTGGTGATTCATGGTTGGAAAAATAGCTACAAGTCCAAAATTAACACGATACTTTCAGAAGCTTACCTCAGTAAACATGATATTAACCTCTTGGTTATTGATTGGAGTTCTGTGGCCAAAAATATCTATCTCTCAACTGTTTTTTATGTCGATGATATTGGAGAGATTATTGGCAACTTTATCAAAAGGCTACAAAAAGAATTAAACTTAAATTTAGATAAAACCACTATTGTAGGCCATTCATTGGGAGCTCATGTTGCAGGAGTCGCAGGACGTACTGTAGGAGGACAAATTAATTATATTGTAGGTAAGTAAAAACCAACAAAAATCTGGGTAATTATTTTCTTACTTAAGTTGTGCTAGTTTTCACAAAGGTATTACACATAAAGACCACATTAGGTATGTAACTATTTTCTATTATATATAGATGTAATAAGAAACGGAAAAAGGCGAAATGCGAAAACTTTCTGTAGCAGCACAAACTTCATGCAATTTTTTAAGGAGGAAAAACAAAAAAGGTAGAAACAGAATAGGAAATGAAAGAGGGTTAGTTCAGACGAAAAAATATGATTATCTAATAACAGACAAAAAACAAATTATTCAAGATGTAACTGTACTCAATAAACTATCAGTAGGAAGCGATGGTAGACGACTAAGGGGTAGAGAAACGATAAACCTATAAAAAGAAAGAAGAAAGATCATTAACAAATGCAAACGCAAAGTTTAAAACTCACCAAAGCAGCCAGAAGCATACATACAAAATATAGCCGAAACTTTATAGAGTAATAATTAGAAACCAAGCAGTATCACACATCACAATCACATCGATTAAAAACGTATTACTTAAATTTTGTAAGAAAAATAAACCAAAAGTAAAAAGATGAGCAAAGATTCAAAAGTTATAAAAGAAATACGACCGAAGCCTAAGAAAGAAGAAAGAAACGAACAAGAATAAATAAAGCTAAATAAAAGAATTTCAGCAGAAATTCAACATGATGATGACGATATTCTACACATGTTTATAAAATTACTATATAAATGTCTCTATGTTTGAGGTTTGGACCCTGCGTTTCCGATGTTCACTATTTTCCTTAGAAACGTTCGATTGCGTTCTACCGACGCCAGATTTGTCCAAGTTATTCACACAAGCATTTTGGGAGGATATGAAAATATGGGACATGCAGATTACTATGCAAATCGATTAATTCGTCAGCCAGGCTGTCCGATTGCTATCATTGGTGAGTTTATTATTTAACAAAAAAAAAATAGAATAATAAATATTATTCATCTATCTGTTTTTTAACATTATTTTTTTATATTCGTTTTACACTACATTAATCAAAATAAACTTTACAAATATATAGTTTTACTAATTTTCAATATTCTATTAAAAAAAATTAATTTGTTTAAAAATATTATTTAAATACTTATACTCCAGTCGTCAGAGATGAGAATGCCACTTAAGCTCTAAAAATTATAGGAACAAGTTGAATTTTACCGAGATTGTTAATTTTGAGACTCCAAAAAAGATACAAAAAAGTTTAAAACTTGTACCTTTGGGTTTTTAAATCAAGATGCGTTTTAAAATTAAGAAGTTTAGGTTTCGTTTACAATTCTTGTATTTATCGCAAGTAAACTTAAATTTTATAAAGGTTGTTTGGGAAAGTATTTAGTCCTTATTTTCATATTTAACATTTAATATTTTTCTTTTACTGTACTATAATATGTTAATTACTATTTATAACTGGGAATAAGCCACAATTAAAGATAAAAATACGTTTATTGACGTTTCAATTTCCAATTCGGAAATCGTTCTCAAAAAAAAAATAATAATATGTTCTTATTGAATGGTCTGTTCTAACAAATTATTTACTTTAAAAGATATTATTTTTTTTTTGCTATTCAGGAAAATCTTATTGTCACACTGGCTAGCACATGTGTCTGATTTCTCCTTGATATTTAGGAAAATATGTCGCCAGCACACAAATTGCTGTAAAGTATCATATTTCAGTGACCATTAAGTTTATGAGGGAGCAAGTTTAGGGTTTATGAGGGAGCATTTGTCCCATATATAACCTACGAACGGCCAGAGGGTTTTTCTGACCATCTGAAGACACTTTCTATCAAGACATCGTACCGAAAGCATAACCAGTTTGTCGACTTCGTCCTTGGTAGCGACGGCAGATACAACTGCTCTACTCCACTGGCTACGCTTAATACACCAATATTTCAAAGGTAAAGCCAGGTTTATAAACGGGCATAGTACATAATCATAAGTCATAAACATAACTTTAACCACAATCATAATTCACAAGATTTAAGATTGGTTTATAACTAGACATAATACCTAACCATAATATTTAAAAACTACTTCAGAAAATACAAAACCTAACCAAATTTTTATAGATCCTGAAGAATTTTTTTTGGTCTTTAGATTCATAGAAAAGTGAAATAATTTTAAATAAATATGAAGATTAATAGAAAAGTTACTTTGGCCATGGCAGCAGTCCCAATTTATTTAACAATTGTAGCGACTATATCTGCCAGAGTTCTTAACAAGCAAAGAAGAGTAAGAAGGTATAGTGTAAGACCCATAAATAGAAAGTGTGATAAGGAATGGTATGAGGAACAGTTCTTTAATTTTTTACGTTGGATTACACATGCGCATATTCCAACAATTCCATAATGTTTAATACTTAATTCATAAATGTTAAAAGTTACCAACTTTGAAGGTCACGTTTTAAGGACTAAATTTATGTTTTATATATTATGAATGCTTTTAAATGGGTACATTTATTTATAAACTTTCAACATTATGCTTATATAATAAGATTATGGTTAAAGACTAAAATTATTTTTATGTCCGTTTATAAATCCGGCTTAAGTCTTTTTCTTTGTACATATAACAGTAATGAGTTAAGCTAGCCAATTATTGTAAGTTATTCACAATTAATATTTGCTATTTTCGTTATTTATTTACAGTCAAAATATTGCATTTTTTCTTCCGTTATTATTTTAATTTCATTTAACCAGTGACCTCTAGTTTTACACAAACCATTTGGTTCTTCGAGCCGGATAATAAACAATTATAATTTGATTCAATTTATTTTATTTTGTTTTACTTAATTAATTAGTTTTGTTTTTTTTTTCAATTTAACTTTTGGTCCTTCGGTGCATTATTTTAAACTTAATTTACATAACTAAATTGGATCGTATTTACATAGCAATTTTTTAATGAATTTCTACTTTTTAATTCATAATAGAAGTAGGTACTTTTATACATGTTGCCATATAATTCGAAGCCATTTATCAAGATTCTCATAACCTCGTTTTAATTCAATTTATTTTCTTCTGCTACTTACTTTCAATAAGCAAACTAAGGTAACTAATCAGGGTGTTAAATGTGTCTTGTGTTCCGGTTTTCACCCTTTACATAAATGTTCTCCTTTGTTATTACTAAACAGCTTCAAGAGCTTTTTCGTTAGTTAATCCACATAATTCTTGTGTACGCTGCCTGATTTCACCTCATTTGAAGCGACGAATGTATGGTTTGCGAATCACAGCATCGCGTTTTTCTCCGTTTGTTAACCAATTGTCAAATTAATCTTCTTCCTTTATAATAATACCAACATTTTTTAATTTTGCTACACAACCACATTTAATGTCCTCGTCTAATTTTTTCCACATGGTTGATACATATTAAAAATGTTTTCGTTAACTCTTATAGCATTCGTATCCTGCTAGATACAGGCTCCACAGCCAATGTTATTACAAAATTTTATTGAACATTAATTTCGCACTCTGAGATAACGGTTCATTTTACACACAAGTGCTAACAAAAATTTTTGTTTAAAATTATCTTAGTTACATTTTTTACTTAAAACATTTTTTTATATGGCGTAAAAATTATTGGTAAATACAATAAAATTCCAATCTGCAGAAACCGAATACTATCGCCCTTTCACTTGCGAAGAAGTCACTATAGCTCTCAAGGATGTAAAGGCACGTAAAGCCCCAGGTATTGACAATATTCATTTCGAATTCTTAACTAACAGCGGCAAATATGTGAGGGAATAGATGGCCCACTTTTTCATAGATATTATGAAGACCGGTGCCATACCACAGGAACTCAAACGCTCGAAGATCATTGCCATATTAAAACCAGGGAAACCAAATGATAGCAACCCTAAGAACTACAGACCAATAGCCCTACTATCGGCAACGTTCAAGCTACTAGAACGACTTATCTGTAACAGAATTAGTCCAAAGCTACTTGAATCGATACCGGTTGGTCAGGCAGGTTTTCGACCGAAAAGAAGCTGCACAGATCAGGTTCTTTCACTTACCACATTTATTGAGGCAGGGTTCCAGAGAAAACTTAAAACTGCAGCCGCATTCATAGACCTAACAGCGGCCTACGATACAGTCTGGAGAGAAGGCATGATATACAAGCTTCTCCGTACAATCTCCTGTAAATCCACCACTCGAATAATCAACAGCATGCTAACCGACCAAACGATTCAAATAGTCATGGTAACCGAGCACCCAAAAAAAACTGAAGAATGGACTGCCTCAGGGATCTGTCCTAGCTCCTCTTCTCTTTAGCATGTACATTGCTGATATACCAGAAACCAGATCAAGGAAGTTTGGTTACGCCGATGACTGGGTTCTTGCATCAAGCTGTAAGTCAATTGAACAAACAGAAGAAATAATTACGACAGACTTACACACAGTGGGAAAGTATTTCCGTAAATTGAGGCTCCAACCAAACGCTATTAAAACAGAGGTTTCCAGTTTTTATCTAAATAACAAGCTTGCAGGAAGAACACTAAACGTCCAATTCGAAAACAGCATACTGGCCTACAATAAAACACCAAAGTACCTTGGGGTGACTCTTGATACATGGGAAGCATCGGCTTCCACTGTGCAAGAGCGAATACTGCCCTTCAGCCTGGCTTAACAGCCCACATACATACAAAGTAGATGTCCAATTGAACAATACAATGAGAATGAATGCAATATCTCCCAGTCCTGAGCCACATTCAACCACCCAGACTACGGCGTATACACTCCCTCACTAGTGAGTACCAGAAGATACTTACGCAAAGAGACCCTGCCAATTCATCAAGATATAGATGCTGTCAAACAGCACAGATTACAGTGGAAAATGAGTTCAACTTAACGACCACTTGGACTTGGAGAATGGATGGAACAACAAAATAGCAGCTTACCCTGCATCACACAAAAACTACCAGGTTTTGACTTACCATGCAATACATGGACTATGTTGAACCAAATCAGAACCAAACATGGCCGATGCGGTTATATGATGCACAAATGGGGTAAACGATCATCCCCGCGGATGATCGACCGAACTCTGAGACTGCGGACAACCACAAACCATCTGTCACATTACAGAACAGTGTCCCACAAGATCTCTATCAAGGCAGGTCAGAGGATTTCCTAATGGCGACTCCAGAGTCGATAGAATATATAAAGAAGTTAGATGTTCGTTTGTAAACATATGTGTAATGTTTTATACAAAATATATGTAAATCTAAATGTAAATATGGCAAGTGCCATAAGATAAATAAATAAATATTGGTAAATCGATTTTTCACATTTTCATCCCCGTACGGGCGGGTTTTAGGGGGAAGCCCGGGAGTAAAAGTCGTAAACTTTTTGAGATCTTTTTTAGGGTCCCAAAACTAATATTCTCTGTAAAATTCAGCTTGTTCGTATGATTTTTAAGGGTCAACTCTCTGACGACTGGACTATTTACTACAAGGTTTCAATATTTAGTCGGTCAGATGCTCAGCGGGCTGTGCGGCTGCCTCATTCGCTTCACTGTCGAATGGTTTAGTGGATGTGGGTCGAGCCCAGCTCGGTGTACAGAAAACAAAAAGTCTAACGCAGCAGTTTAAAATTCTAGATGAATCTGCGGCTTAGACTAGGATATGCTGGGTTCTGATCGGCCTATGGTGGAGCAGTACGGCAAGAGATAAGGGCTTGCGGCTCGGTGATTACTCCTCCATAGATCCCTACCGGACGGGCGTAACGCCTACAAAAAACCGGATATATATATTTCAATATTTATATTATTAATATAGAGATTAATGTATCGAGTCCAGATTTATGCCGAAGTTTATGTTTAAGATTTTAGATTATGTAGTCATCACCGAGCGTACGAATATTTTGGGGAGTCCATAAAATCTGGCGGTTTTAAGGCACAACGTTGCAGTGGTAGGTTGGATTTGCTAATGAATAGATGTCAAGGACCGCAATCGCATATGGGAGAGTTTAATATTGATAAAACGTAAGAAATATTAAATAAATAGCTTAATAAATATGTTTAATAAAACAAAATAATTTTCACAAACCAGATTTCAAGTAAATTTTCCAATTTTTATTTAAAGTACAAGAGAAAGTTGTTTTATTTAGATTTATTTATTTGTCGTTTTTTTAGGGCGAGTGGAATGTACTATGTAGAAACAAACAGTGAACCACCATATGCAAAAGGTTAATAATAACATCAGCTCTTATACAAATATAATCATCATAAAAACTGTTAAATATTGATTGTATTAATTTGGTTTTCAAATAAACGCAAACAAAACGTTTTTTATTTTTATAGTACATAAGATTTAATCAGTTTTATCTTTTTCTACGTTTTCAACATACCTTAAACATCCAACTGTAGACGATGACGATATTTTTTAAGTATGTACTTTTATTTTGAGCGACTTTTTACTCGAGAACGCTAAAACCAGACAATATACAGATTGGGAAGACAGAATACTACGAAATAAGAAAAAAAATACAACACAAAATCGAAAAACCAGAAAACCATAATACAAAACTTTAGTAACTTATAACACTAGAAACCTATAGATGCAAAAACAAAGTATATAAGAAAATTAGAAAGTTGAAAAACTAGTAAACAAAAAAAAACCAGTAAACTGGAAAACCAGAAAAAGCTCTAATGCTTCCAGGCAAAAAGCAAAATTTTATTTTAAACCATAAAAATCCGTCTATGGATGTTAACTATTTATTTCCGTTTTTTCTATTATAAATAATTTTGCATAGATGATGACCTCGTTTTAATATATGAGGCCACCAGAAAGACAGTATGAATATATATGTTCAATTTAGAACCCGCCGGTATCTTCCTTTCGCCTTGGGTACATTTTATTACCAGAAACAAATAATAATCAAGAGGACTATACAAAATTCTATTTA